TTGGTCCATTTGTTACGCATTTGGAGTTCGTTTAGATATTCGAGGTTCCAGCGTGCCCAGAAGTCTTGTCGTACCTTTGTAATGTGTTGCCAGGTAGACAACCGATTGGCTGGAACAGATGACAGGTCGCCCTCCGAAAGGGTGGTTAGTGGTTTGCCGATTAAGTAATGAGCAGGAGTTAATACGAGTAGGTCGTTCGGGTCGGTGGAGAGGGAAGTGATTGGTCTGGAATTTAGAATGCCCTCGACTTCGATGGTGAATGTATTTAACTCTTCGAACGTAAATAGAGAATCTCCGACTACGCGTTTGAAATGATGTTTAAAAAGCTTTACTGTGGCCTTCCACAGTCCACCAAAATGTGGTGCTGCTGGAGGTATGAAGTGCCACGTTATGCGGCGTTCGCTCGCATACCTGTTTACGAGGTTTTTATGTTCCTCGGAGTTGAGTAGAACGTATAATTCCTTTAATTGGTTATTCGCGCCTACGAAATTAGTTCCGTTGTCGGAGTAGACATGCTCTGGCAGCCCACGTCTCGCGACGCTCGCGACGAATCGTCGTAATGCTGCAATAAAACCGTCGGTGGACAAGTCGCTTACGACCTCGAGGTGTACTGCCTTTATTGACATACATACAAATACGCATATGTAAACTTTAATTCGTGTTCGATTACGGTGTTTCTTCTCTTTAATGTAGAACGGACCGCAGAAATCGATACCCGTATTAGCAAATGGAATAGCTTCGCGTATACGGACCGGCGGAAGATTTCCCATTTTATATTCGATCGCATTGGCGCTGAATCGAAAACAGCGCTTGCAGGCGCGTATGACTTTCCGGACTTGATTCCGGCCATCGAGTAGCCAGAATTTCTGTCTGAGAATGTACAACGTGGTTTGCATACCCGCGTGATAATGTGTCTCGTGAATTTCGCGGATAATACTGCCCGTTAAACGATATCGGCTTGGGAGTAGAATCGGGTGCTTTTGCGAAAACGTTAGATTCGATCTTTGAAGACGTCCCCCAACGCGAATTAAACCTTCGGCATTTAAAAACGGGTTTAAATTAATAATTTTACTTCGGTTTGTTAAATTCTTGTTTTTTATTCCTTTGATTTCTTCGGGAAAATGAGCAGCTTGAAAAATTTTTAGAATCCGTATTTCAGCTTCGTTAATTTCCCTCGCGCATATCGACTCAGTGTATTTGTTCGTTTGACGAAATCAAAGACAATACGCGACGATTCTGCGTAGTTTGGAATAAGAGGAGTACCTTTCGAGTATTCCAATGTCGATAGATTGGTTAACAAGCATGTGTTTTCCTTTAATTCGGGTATTTCGATTATTCGCGTGCTCTCGTTAGGCCATTTACCTTCGTCTTTAATCAGCCACGAGGGCCCTACAGGCCACGATTGATTTCGCAGAAAGGCATGGGGTAATTGACCCCTCGAAATCGCGTCAGCCGGATTATCTTCTGTTCGTACGTATCGCCATTCGATGGAGCTACTTATTTCTTGAATTTCTGCTACCCGACTTGCTACGTAATTTTTGAGCAAGTGAGGTGATGTCGCTATCCGGTGAAGCACGACTTGCGCGTCACACCAGAAAACCTTCTTGTCAAATGCTATTTCTAATGTGCCAATGGTTTCGCGATAGAGTCGTGCTAGCAATAACGCGCCGCAGAGTTCTAACCGTGGGATAGTGATAGTTTTTAAAGGAGCGACTCGAGATTTGGCGCATAATAATCTGCTGATAACGTTCCCGTGTTTATTCCTTGAGCGTATGTACAGACATGCTCCGTAGCCGGCGTTGCTAGCATCGCAAAATCCGTGTAATTGAATGTTGTCGCAATTTTCTATAAACAATTTACGTTCGAAGGAAATCCGTTGCATTGACTCTAGTTGCCGAACGAATTCCGACCACTGTGTATATATATGTTGCGGGACGGATTCATCCCATTGCAGTGTACACCGCCAGACGTCTTGCATGAGTTTTTTCGCGTGTAATACGATCGGACCCAATAATCCCAGCGGATCGAAGATTTTCGCGATTTCCGATAAGATGCTTCGTTTTTGTTATCTTCCCGGTAATCGTAATCGGATGAGCTAAATAACAGATTTTATCATCGCGCGTGCTCCATGTCATACCTAATGTCTTCAACGAACGATCTAGATTTAGTACGAAGTCCGCGTGCAGCTCGTCAGTTGATAAATCATTGACGACGCGTTCGTCGTTAGATGCCCATTGTTTAATGGGAAAACCGCCCAGGGATAATAATGCGATTAGTTCGTCTCTAATTGCTCGCGCGTCTTCGATGGTCTTGGCGCCGGATATTAAATTATCGACATAAAAATGCTCTTTAAGAATTGCGGCGGCCCTGGGGTATCTGTGTTGTTCGTCTTCCGCGAGCTGGTGTACAGATCAAATTGCAGAAAATGCAGAGGCGGCGGAGCCAAAAATAATCGTGTTCATTTGAAACGTCTCCACCATCTTGAACCTACGCCAGAGGATTCGATGGTATCGTCGATCGTTTTTATGTAGCAACACTTGACGATACATTTTGACTATGTCCGCGGTGATGACGTACTTATATGTCCGGAATCGTATCAGATGTAAAGGCAGTTTAGCTTGAATGGTGGTCCTACCATTAGCATCTGATTTAATGACACCCCGTTGGTCGATTTCGCGGATGCGTCAAATATTACTCGTACCTTGGTAGTACTACTCGAATCTTTTATTACTGCGTGGTGTGGATATAAAATCCGTCATCATTGGGATCCTCTACTAAGGACATGTGCCCCAATTCTAAATATTCTTCTATTACCCGAATATATTCATCCTTTAACTTTGCATTCGCGTCAAGTTTGCGTTCTAATGACAACAGACGCCTGAGCGCGTTAGTTCGCGATTCCCCTAAACGCACATTTGAATCTCGAAACGGCAAACGAACTATGTAACGCCCGCTGCTGTCACGGCGGACGGTCTTTCTGAAGTGCGCTTCGCACTCCCTTTTCTCCGCCGACCACGGTCTATCCGTCTCGACTTTCTCTATTGTCCAGAATTTAAGTAATTGATTTTCTAGACTCGTGAAATGGCATGTCGCGTTCTTTGACGGAGATGGTGATGACGCTCCACCAGCGACCACCCAGCCTAGACGAGTCTTTTGTAAATAAAAATCCTGACCCTTGTGAGACAAATTAATTTGACCGATTGAGAATAATGATATCGTGGCTCCGGAACCAATCAATAGATCGACGGAGCGCGGTAGATGAAATTTCGGATCCGCTAATTTAATATTCGGAGGTATTCGAATCGAATCTCGCGGGAAGATCTCGGATGGTATCGAATCGGCGATGGCCGGTATGGTAAGACACGTGAGAAAGTCGTCGCGCATCGATTGTATCGTAATTTGCACCATGCCTTTGGATTCAGTAGTCGCATCGTTAATCGTACCGATCGGCAACGAGTGTGTGATTACGCGCACGCCCAAGCGTTTCACAATGTTTTCGGAGATGAAGTTTGCGGTAGCGCACGTGTCTAGCAACGCGCGACATTTTACAAGATTGTTTTTACTATCATGAATATAAACTAATGCGCTCGTTAACAACTGCGGAGCGGACACGCGCGATATCGTCGCGAGACTCGTTGTTCCGCTGCCGATCGATTTAGCTAGTCATATGGACTGAGTGGTTTCGGGCTTCGATACGTCGGGATTGCTGGCGGCCGTGTATTTTTCCAAATGCAGTAAAGTGTTGTGACGTTTTTGGCAGATCGTGCAGTTAGAAAATTTACACGGACTGTCGCGGTGAGAGCGTAAGCAATTGTAACAGACCTTCGCGTTTCTCACCGTTTCGATGCGCTTAGGCACGGGCAATTGTTTAAATTTGTCACATAAATAAAGCGGATGTCGTTTGGTTTTGCACGCGATGCAATTGCGCGACGCGTTTGACATAAAGGCTTGATTTGACGAACCGTTTCGCCTCTTTTTGAATGGGGGTTCGCCTTTGTTTCTTTCTGATTCGCCTGATTTCGATCTTTCGCGTTTCGACGCGCAAACGGCGGTTTTGTAAAGAAATTCATACATCTGATCTGGTTTCGGATATTCGTCTTTTTCTAGGGTCGCTTCCCACCGTTCTAGCGTGCTCTTCGGTAGTTTATTTTCCAATAAATGTACGATCATTTCGGGCCCGACGGATACCCCTAATGCGCTTAACGACGCGACGTGCTGTTGAGTGTCGTCCGCGAGTTTGGACAAACCGCTCGTGGTTTCTTTGTCTAATGTAGGTAGATTTATTATCAATGAGAGATGTCGCGAGATTAAAATTCGTTTTACCTCATATGAGCGTTCCAATAAATCCCACGCGTGTGTGTAATTTATTTCGTCGACCGTGAAGATCTTTAGCTTATTAGCGGAGATGCGATACTTGTCTCTGGTTCGCTGTTTCGTTCTTGCAGGGGCCGCTACCTCACAGGAGGCACCAAAATGGTTGTGTCAGTGTAGATGTTATTCACATGAACGCTGTCTTTTCGAATAAAGTTTATTTATGTATACTTGTACGTATTTATGTAACTTCAATACAAAGAGATCGGTTTTACGTCACGGTAACTCGCGGATTAGACTGTGTGATATGTACTGCCGAAGCAAGTACTCGCTTTATCTAATGTTCTACGCGCGAGACCGGGATAACGTCTCAGAACTATTGCCCTGGATCCGGGTCGGGCGACAACGCCTGGGGGCTGTTGCCCTGAGCCGCCTGACGGACACACGACAACGTCTGAGAGATCTTTGCTCTTGGTCGTGATCGTTCGGACGCACAATTGGATTGGACTCGACTATCGCGTGCACTCTCGACTGTGGCTACAGGCAGAATGCCTGATTTTTCCGTCGCGATCTCCTTCCCTATCCCCGTTTCATCGAAAAGATTTCTCATTGGTCCCTTCGACTCGTGAGACATCGATGAGGCGATCACGGCGGTGACGGTGTCATGCGATTATCGGCGCCACGGTTCCTTTTGACTCGCGCCGCCAGACGGAAAGAGTGGCGACGATCATTGTTGGATTCGAGGATATTTACTTAGCCGTCGCATGTCTGTGTACATGTGCACGTGTGTGCGTCCGAGGTCCGTCTCTCTTAGATGCAACACATGTATGTGTGCATGCCTTTCTATATGTTAATGCGCATGTCGTGCACGACCTATCGGATGCTACGCAACAATGTACGTATGTATGTATGTATGCATGTATGTATGTATGTATGTATAAATGTATGTATGTATGTATGTATGTATGTATGTATAATACTAATGGAAAGAATATTAATCACACATTTTTGTATTTTATATTTCAAATATTTATTTATTATATAATTTTTACAAAAGTTTACCATTTATTATTTCCCTAAACATTTTGTCTCTAAAGTACGGCATGTCATCCTGCGTAAACGTTATCTCCCTGTTTGCACAAACGTACTCGGCGAACATGCAAGAGAATACACCATAATCGCTACCGTTTGTCTGTTGCGGAATGTTCTTGGCGGAATGAAATTCCCAATCACTCATATCATAAGGTTGTTTCTTTTTGTCAAGACTCTCATTTTGTAAATATAGTTTTAGCGCAGCCATCAGACATTTCGGATTATCACTGCCCATACTGTCGTAATAAACAATCGTCTTATCGCGAAAATCTATTATTGCCATACGCCAGTGAACGTCCAAATGTACAGGCACAACCACAAGATCCTGCGCAAATATGTCCATCTTCCTAGTCTATCGCTTTAGCGACGAGTGACCGCCCGACAGAAGTTTTGGGTTAAAAAACGTGTTCATTGCGTGCACTTTCGGATACGCGTCGGAAGATGTTTCTCTGGCGATCAGCAGGTTCATATAAAAGTTTATCACTTCGTCGTTCAGCCAATTTGAGTCGGCTAGCGTGTAGAGATCCTTTTGCGTGAGCTTCAGCCCGAAACCTTCCACAACCACCTCCATACTGTGGAAACCTTTGACACAAAATTATAATGTTACAAAATTATATCGCAAAATTATACAATATCATATCACATTCCATTATTTTTAATATTAATTTGTATATTTACCTTGATAATCTGATTGCATCGCTGCTCATTTAATTTTTCCTACGTATTTAACTCTTCCCACGCATTGATTTGTTCCCAAGCACTTAATTCTTCCATCGAATTTAGTCGATCGGATTGCACCACATTTTCAAGTTGCTCGCTTGCTTGCTTGAGCATACTATGATTCTAACGCTCTTCTTCATCGTTTTCTTCAATCACTTTTTCTCTTTTCTCTATCATTTCATCCTCTTCTACTTTTACGTCACAGAGACGTGACATTCCTTAAACCCTTTGGGTCTCAATAAGTAAATAAGCTATTTGCTTATTAGTAAAAAATTTTGTCCGAATGGTAACAACCCGACCATGTCCCGACACATGGCTCATCAAAGGATGAGACAATTGTGGGTCATAAATTATAGCTATTTCATAAATAATTTTCGGTCGGATGTACCTCCACGGGAAAAAAACAAGGAATTTGTCCGTCCCTATTTTTACCATCATTTTAAGAAATATCCTTACCAATCAAAGTATATCTACACATCAGGTGAAGCAAATCTCAAAATCTCAGGTACCTACTTGCAATCGTGCGTTCGTGCGTAAAGGTCTCGTGCTGCGTGTGTACTTGGTGCGAAACACTATCGTGTCTTTGATGTTTTTTGTGTCATCAAGTTTATTTTTATAATATAATACATTAAAATGACTGATCATTTTGACGACATTGTGGCTGATGAAGAGGAACACGCGCTGCCGGGCGAAGAAGAAGAAGAACACGCGCTGTCAGACGACAGCGGTTTTGAAACTGCTGATAGTGACGATGACTGCAGAGAAGTCGTTTTTAGAGCCCTGTATCGTCCCGAAATTTTGACGCTGAATAAGCGCACAAAGTATTGCGCTATTTATTTATATTATACGGACGGTTCAGGTTCAGGACACAAGGATTGTGCTTTATGCATGAATGCATACGTGGACGCTGAAGCCGACCCAGTATATGTTGTTCGAAGGCATATAAGAAAACCATACAACGAAATACGCCATCGTACTTGCGGAAATTGCAGACAGCCGCTGTATACAATATATCCACGCAATATTTGTCCTATTTGCACGAAATAAAATATATGTTGCATGGAAACGTGAAGCTTGATAAATATCAACGTAAGTATTACTTTTTAAAATTATTATTATTATTATTTTTAATAAACCATTAATTTATTTTATTCTTCTACAGTTTCAGAAGGCTGGTGGATCGTGGGAGGGGTTTTAGTCGGTAGGAGTCTGACATAACCGTCCACCTCGCCCCGGGGTGGGGGTATCCAATGCAGGATTTCACTCCAAAAAAAAGGTGCTCGGACCCAGGAAAAAAAAAGCCCAGTGGATCCAAGTGATCTTGCAAGCTTGAAGACTGCCTTTACCCGCCTCTATTGTATGAGTCACGTAAACATCGCTGTCTATTTGAGATTAAAGCAAAAATATAAATAACGAATAAAAATTGAAATAATGAGTATTGGACTCCCAAAATATAAAATAAGATCAGGAATGGCTATAAGAGTCAGACGCAGTTGTTAGTGCGTAAAAAACTTAAGCGATTTCATCAATCGAATATATATTCAAGCGTTTTGACTCGGGATTGATCCATCTTCAGTGAAATATATAGAAAAGTTAATAGTTACTCCCATTCTCCCTGTTGGATCGGTGAGTTTCGAGATTGAAAGATCCCAAAAGACAACATTGACTTTCGAATTACTGTCTGTAACAGATCCAAAACGAACAATGATATTTAATATTTCTGTCAGTATCTTAATTCAAGTCAATTAACGAGATGTGGTTAAACTCACCCGATAGCCAAAAAGAACGAGAGTATTACAAAGCCATACAGAGTATATATAACGAGTCTTCCGAAAAAATATAACATTCTATGCGGAGACGAAATCAAACGAACATGTCAAGAAGGCGGACGGAAAAATTCTAACGTCAATTTTGTCATGTCACGTTCACAATAACCAACCGTGACAAATAAAATATGAAAACATGAAGGGTCGCCACTATAAACATTCAAAAACTAAATGCAGTGGTACCTCCCGGCACAATACGTACGACAACAATAAGCATGATTTACAATTTTTCTAGTATAGATACATAAGCGTGGTGAAGAAATTCTGTATCAGTTTGTAAATTCAGACTGTTCTTCTGTAACTTAATGTGCGCCATTTCCGAAATTTGTCTTTTGGATAGAAATCTCTCTTTGTCTAGTATCTCAACGTTCTCCCAATCGAATTCATGGTCAATATTAATCCTATGTTCCGTAATGACGGATTGAGTTGTAGTATTTCTCCGAATGTGGTTTCTATGTT